CCCTTTTCCCTCATTGCATAAGTATGGAAATGGAGGTCCAGAAAGGAGAATGACCTGCCCAAGGTCACCCAGATACTTAATGAAAGAGACAGGACTTGAATCCAGGTGTTTTGACTATTAACTCAGAACGATTCATACATGAATTCAAGTCATTGAACTTAAAATATATATATTGAGAGACTCAAGTTTACATGCCAAAGAGCATGAGCTGATTTTACGTCTCTACCTGAGAGAATGTGTGTGGGCTTGTCTGGGCTCTGGGCCCAGTCTCCTGGTTTGAGCAATTCCATCTTTTCCTTCAATTAGTGTCCTCGTCGCCTACCCGCCTACCTGCCCCTGGTCTCCCTGCTCTGATCTATGCCAGACAATTAAATCTAAAATGCTAATTCAACTTTAAAAAAATGCTGCTCCCTTCCATGGTTCCGCATGACCCCTAGAATAAAATCCAAATTCCTTAGCCTGACAAATGTCCCTTTGCTTCCCTACCCCAGCCCACTCCTTCGTGCAACAAACATAGTTTGTGTGCCACACTGCTTCTGGTTCTCTTCACTCAACCTGCCATGTGTATCTCCATGCTGTAGCCTGGTCTAGTCCCTCTGCCCAGAACACCCTTTTTTGCTTTCATCTGATTATTCCTATTTCTCAAGCTTTGGTTTAGGCTTTATGTCTTCCAGAAAGCCAGTGGCCATCCATCCCCAGGCTAGGATGAATGCATGCCACTCCCAAGGGTTCCCATAGCACTTGACTGTGACATTTTGCCAAGATATTGAAGTGATCAGTTTATATGCCTGTGTCTAAGAATATGCTCTAAATTCTCCCAGAAGGCTAGGGCTCTATCTCTTCTCAGTTCCTAGAGCCTAGTACAACATCTGGTCTATGGAGAGTACTCACACATTGAACTGAAATTCCACAAGGCTCAGTCCTTGGTTATCATCTCTGTCGATGCTCACTTCTTCATGACTTTGAGCAGTCTTATGGCTTTAATATCATCTATATGACACTAATTCCTGAAGTTTTCTCCCCAACTCAGGCTTCTTTCTCAAATTCCAGACTCATATATCCAACTACCTACTATCCCTCTCCACTATCAAGTCTAATAGACATCTCAAACTCAGTTCAAAATTGAATTCCCAGTTGTTCCATTGGCCCCAAGTCTGTTCTCCCCATGGCTTCCCCATATCCGTTAGTGATAACCCCATCCTTCCAGTGGCTCAGATAATAGCCCTGGAATCACTCTGGATTCCTCTCTTTCTTTCACACACCATGCCAATGTACTAGGAAATCCTGTTGGTTCTATCTGTAAGATATATTCAGAATCCAACCATTTCTCACCACCTCCATTGCCACACCTTGATTGTGTCACCTTTGTCTCTCACCATGGCATTAACTGCCATGGCCTCTGAACTGGTCTCCCTGATTTTACTCATGTCTTCCTATGTCTCTTCTCAACACAGTAGCTAGAGGGAGTATTGCAAAATAATGTCAGATGGTTATTTATCTTCTCAAATTTCTGCAGTGGCTTTCCATTTCATTCAGAGTAAAAGCCAAAGGCACTACATGGTCAGATCCCCCTTTACTTCTCCAATGTCATCTTATATTACTCTACTCATGTCACTCTTGGCCTCCTTGTACTCCCCTGATCTGGAACTTTCTTCCTCTAGATTTCTTCCACCATGTGTCTGCTCAAACCTTATCCTTTAATTAATGACTACCTTTCTACCCTATTTAATATTGGAACCCACTTACCTTATGTCCCTGGAATATACCATCTCCCTTCCTTTCTCCACCCTTTCTTTTTCCATGGTACTTGTGGAAGATTGTATCATCCAAAGATTGTATTTTCCAATATCTCCTGTTCTGCATTCTCTTTTAGAATCTTGCAAATGCCTCTCTATCCATCAAGAGATGGAGTCTAATTCCCCTTCCTTAGACTATAGGCAGTTATTACTTGCTTATGACCAATACAATGAGGTAATAGTGATGCTTTATGATGTTCAAGTCTAGGTCACAAGGGATGATGTACTTTCTACCTTATTAGCTAAGAGACTTGCCTTTGAAACTATGAGCTACCACGTAAGAAGTCCAACATCCTGAGACTACCATGCTGTGAGGAAGCCCAGGCCACCCAAAGAGGCCATGTGTAGGTGTTCCAGCTGGCAATCCTACTGAGATCCCAGCAGACAGCCTGCAGCAATCACTAGATATGAAAGGAAAGACACTTTCTGATGATTTCAGCCCCGGCCTTAGAGCCTTCCATGTCAAAGTTTCAGACACCAAGGAGCAGAAGCAGACCCAGTTGTGCCATGTTCAAATTTGTGACCCACAAAATCAATGAGCACAATACATTGGTTGTTTTGTGTCGCTAAGATTTGGGGTAGTTCCTAACACAGCAAATAGTCTGTTTCACTGTGTAACATACTACATGAGTGGGAGGAGGGGCAAAGGGAGAGAGAGGATCTTGAGCAGACTGAGCACAGAGCCCCATATGGGACTCGACCCCTGAGATCATGACCTGAGCTGAAATCAAGAGTCAGACACTGAACCAACTGAGCCAGCCAGCCGCCCCTGAGAGGTCAACTTGTCAAACCCACTCATTTGTATGAAAAAAACAAAACAAAACAAAACAAACCTGAGCAGGAGCAACAGGCAAGAAAGAACACGTAGCATGTTGGTTTGACAGTAGGATTGGAGGCCCAGGAACCTTATGATTACAACAGAGCATAGTCTTCAAGCAGACCTGTGACTCATATGCCTGTTATATAGATTCCAGACATCATGGGAGCTTTGATGATCAAAGCAACATCCAGCTCGAGTCTAGGAAAGGGGACGGGCACATTGTGGAAAGATTCCCATAAAGTAACGCTTCCCAATTAACCTCCAGTTAATCAGAAAATGTAACTAGAAGCTAAACATCCCAGTTAACTGATTAATATAATTTGAACAGATTGAACGCAAGGCTGGTCTAGTTAGCGATGTTTCCGTTTGGGGTCTAAATGATGGAACAACATGCACAGTTTTCTCTCTTACTATGTAAGTGGACCGTTTCCAGGTTAGAAAGTTTAGAAAATCCAAAAAGGCACAAAAATAAATTTTAAAAATCAACCCAAATCCTATCACACAGGGATGGATACTTTCAAAAAAGATATCATTCTGGAAAGAAAAGTACTAAAGGAGTCAAATGTATTTGTATTTTTGTTTTCAGATGTTAGACCACAGGTTCTAGAATAGTGTTTCTCAGTCTTTGACTATTTGTTCCCCTTTTGGATAAGTCAGCTGTCTCCCTTAATGCTATTCAAACCTTAAAACAAATGAAATAGTAGGGCTGATGACCTATTAAACCATCATGACACTGAATGTGCCTTTACCAACAGCACTTTCTCTCCTGACATTTACTCGCCAGTCAGAGCTACATAGGTGTGCATAAGCACGTGTGTATAACACTTTCAGGGGCTGGGACTATTCAACAAAACCCCTAGGAAATAAGGCCCAGGGACGGGAGGTGATGAGACAATCTCCTTCAACTATTATCCCAATTTCCTCCAAAACTTACAGACTGAGCATATGAAAAATGCTCTTTTCCTTGGACCATATTTGAAATTAAATGTACGTTCTCTTGAGCTGGTCATTACTCCTATCCATTGACATAAATGTTTTTGTTCTCATAAGTGTGTCAAACATGCCCCCTGCCACCGTGTTTTATACTCTCCTAGTTTTAGGACCAGACCGGCCCCTTAGAAATCACCTTATCCAAACTCTCCACTCAACTAATAAAGAATCTCAAAACTCAGGGAGCAAAATGATATGCTAATATCACACGGTTTATTGTATTGGAATCTGGCTGTCTGGATCCCAGTTTAGCACAATTTCATGACCTCATACAGCTTGTGAAATACTGCTTTGTAAGCTTTTTCTCAGAATATAGTCTGAGAGATAAACTTAGTCTGCATTATCAAGAATTCCAAATGTGTAGAGTCTGAGTCAATGCGTTCCCATTGCACACAGTGTAACTGAAGCAAGCATATTTGGGGCACATGCTGCATGTGAAATAAAAACCCACAAAAAACTAGTACATATAACTCAGAGCCTGGCATACAGTAGATGCTCGAAAGACATTTTGGGAAGGAAGGAGGAGAGGGAGAGAGAGAGAGGAAAAGGAGAGTCAAAGAAAGAAATGCTTGTTTTCAGAGCTGGCTTCAGGAGGAGGCTTGCAAAATTCCTCTGGGGGCATGAGGTGCTCTTTAGTTCAGGAAAACAACTTAATGAATTTTTCCTCCTATTTTATTTCACTCTTTGTAAAAGGTGAGGCCTAATGGGCAAGGCCTGAAACAAAAGGAGGGAGACAGAGAAAGCTGAGTTGTTCTGCATAATAGTGAGGGGAGTGTAGGAATTCTTTTCCAGGCTGCTGGGAAGAAGAAGAAGAAAAAAAGGAAGATTTTGAGGACACCACAAAGGACTTTTGGTGGGGAGTGGACAGACATGTGTCAGGAGACCAGAACCTCAGGAGGACTTCTATTCAGGTACTTCCTGTACTTTGCTGCAATCCTTCTCTTATTCCCCAAACCTCAGTAACAACCACTACTCACAAAGTCCTTTGCATTAGAGATGCTCTGGGGAGGGAGGAAAGGGATGAGCAGGGGTGAGGAGAAGGGACAGAGAGAGAGGAGACAGCAGACACCAGAGGTGACACTGACTTGGCAGGGGTGTGGGATGAGTGTTGAGCAGCAGAAGCAAGATAACGAGGCCAGAGCAAGTCTCCCAGAAATCACTGGGTTTTTTTGTTTTTGTTTTTTTACAATAGGTGGGATGGGGTTTGAGCCATTCTGTCTTCCTATTGCAGGAAAGTATGAGTGCAAACTGATTCAGTATGTCTGGATGGGGACTGAGATGGTGCCTCTCCAGCATGCCCCCAAGTGATGCTGATGCTGCTGGTCTGGGGACCATACCTTGAGTAGCAAGGATTTAGCATCCATAAAACCTCTGCACCCCCGTTGGTCTCTTACCTCATATTCCTCCTTGAACCCGTAGCCCTGGCCTCTCTTCATCTGGGTGATGTGCTGTAGCAGGTCAGCCACCCGGATGGCGGGCTGGAACTGGTCCCGGGGATAGCTCATCTCCACGGGGTCGCAAGCCCGGTAGGGGTGAGTCTGGATCGTGAGGGTAGGCTGGGACAGCTCCCCACGGCTGCCATCTGCTTCAAAGAGAGGGAGGCAAAACACACATCACCTATGAGAGTTTTGCCCTCTGTCCTCCCTGCCTCCCCCAGGGCGGGGGGAACTAACTCAGGACTCAGGTGATCAGGAAGCAGCAGGAAGAACAAAGACGCACTGCTTCCCTTGCATGGCTGTGGCGGTCGATTTAAAAATCAAAACAACAAACCAACCAAAGAACACATAACCCTTTGGGTTTGTTTCTATTCCAAGGGTGCGTATCGGAGCAGAGACAAAATTCCAAGTTGGCTGTCATCCTCTGTCTGTCTCAGTCCTTGACAAGGGTGGTCTTGGCTAATCCTGGCCAATCCCAGAACAAGTGAGAAGCCAGATGGCTGTTTAGGAAGGAGGATGCCAGGAAATCATCTTTGGTGCCTGCCTGCAAGTGAGGAGAGAGCCCCAGGTCTCTGGAGATCAGAGCCTCGTGTCTGCTCCTGGTCCATTTGCCTACATCCTCGAGAGGAACTGAAGCCAGTCGTGGACCCCCAACCAGTAGCAGGGACGCTAACCCTCTCAGCTGCTCTCTCTAGCTGTGGGCTCTGCAACAGCGATCGCCTTCTGCTTATGGTCTAGTTTCCCCACTGCTTAACACTCTTGATCCAGGAGTGTCGCTGAACTTACCTGTTAGGTTAAGGAAGCCCAAACCTCTTCCTTTAGTCCTGCTAGCTTCTTCTCCCAGGCCTGGGTCCTATGCCCCATCTCCTTTCTCAAATCTCTCCTTGATAGAAGGTCTATGCTCTCCTTGGTAATAGTTTTCATACCCACTGAGCTGTGCTGACTGGTCTCTTGGGAAACCATTCCGCTGGGGCTAGATGTGAATCCCCCTGTTCCCTTTGTACCAGAACCACCACATTCTTGCCCTACTGACTCCCCGGCAAGCATATATTGCTGGTCTTTCAGGGCTAGTTTGTCTTTCTCACAACCATCTAGGCTTGGTTTCCTGCACCTCCTCCCAGAGACACGGACAGTCTATGCCCTAGAGACTCCTGGTATGGCATGCACGCGGTGAGAACTGCTATATTTGATGTGACTCTCCCCAGCATTTTCAGGTCCCACAAGATACCCGTGCAGACCCCATTTCAGTCTATGGCATGTTCACTCCCTGGGAGGCTTTAGCATATATTCCTGACTTGCTGCAACTTGTCTTTTCAAAATTCATGTTTCCTTTAGCTTGTCTGTCGCTCATGTCACAATAATCCTCCAGACATTGATTCTGTATATAAAAGTGAAATTTTCTATGTGACAGCAAGAGCAAAACTGTTCCAAGCAAGGAAAGGATTGCCAACGGAAAGATCTAGAGCGTACAGGTTTCCGTACAAGGAGGAAGGGCCTAGGTGAGATGTTAGCACAGCTTTCCTGACCACCCAGAAGAAAAATACTGCTTACTTGTTCTGGAATTGTAGGTAACAGGTAGTACATTTTCACTGGCATTGTTTCAATGTAGAGCTTTGCAAATGTGGGGGCTGCTCCTCTCCACCACACCCATGGGATCAGGAGTCAGATTTATTGAGAACTCACTCTCAACGTGCCAGGGATGTGGTAGGCACTGTCAATGTGCAGCACACAGATTTCACCCTCAAGACTTGATAGTCTGGTATGGCAGACAGACCAGAAGAACCATCTGAAGCACAAGAACAGAAGCCGGAGAAGCCAAGCACATTGAGGGAAGAGCAAGGAGGCTGGGATGGAGAGAAGGTGGTGGGTGGAAATGTGAGCGGGCAAAGCTGTAAGAGTTGATGAGAGCTAGGTAAAAGAGGCTGTAAATGGGTGAGAATCTCCAAGCCAGTGGGCAGCTGCTGAATGGTTTTAAGAAGAATTCCTCTCTTTAAGGACACACTATTTTGCTGCAGGTGGCCCAGCTGTCATAGATATGAGGCCTCCTTCCAGTGAACATCACTCCTGTGATGCTATGGTGGGCTTGGGGATGGGGAAGGGGCACTTGAGTTTGCTTCTCTAGATGCTGCACTTCACGATCCCCAGGACAGCATGAGCTGGAGTCCGTGCCCAGAGCCCTGTGTCTCCCACCTAAACCACCAGCGCATATGGGGACAGATGTCTTCGGAGACCCGTGGTCTCCCAAAGGCCCTGGGGCGTGGACTGCCTGGGAGGCCGGCTCCCTGGCAGAGACAGGCATCTTGGGAATGGGCCCCTGGCAAATTTTGTGAGAGGCCAAATGTTCCCCAAACCAATATGGGTATTTTCCCTAAACACATTGCTAGACAGACTGTAAACTTGGTGTCAGCAAAACCAACACTGGAATGGAAAACAAATGCATTTGAAATTTAACAACTTGTATCACTGTAACATTTGTCATAACTTCAACGCAGGTGCTAATGATGCTATGAAGACTCAGAACCAAGGGGCTTTCAAGGTTTATTAATTCAACTAGTTGGACTCCCTTTTCCAATGTATCTTACCTCCCCTATTCCCTCATTAACCTCTGATAATGCAGAAGTGATGCCTTTTATCACACCCCATTTCACCAGACGCACTATACTTAATTTCCCGTCATTAGGTTTAATGAAAACCCAATTTCACAACTCACTTCTCTCAGGAACCTACAAGTAAAGCTACGTTTTTATCAGCCCCAATTAAAAAGCGTTATGATGCTCCTATTCGAGAGGGAGCCTTAAAAGTAATGTGCGATTGGGCTGCTAATTCAACAAGGGCGCTAGAATTCACATGCTGCTCATAAAATGTAACTCAAACCAGCTGGCCCAGGAAGAGAACACTGCTCATTTTTCTCCTCACTAGACCCTTAATTTTCACGCCATTTCATCTTCTCATGTATGGGTCTTGCATGTTTATTTATCACATAATCATATTTTGGATGTCTTCTGCACCTTTTCTATAGCTGTTGCCTAAGCCTGTGAATTCCCCTGCAACTTTTGTGGCTGCCTGCAAGGGGCTTGTGGGTGATACGAATGAGATCCCCGGATCACCACTGTCCCTCTTCCGGTTCCCCTCCCTTCTGGACTTGACCTATTTTTTTTACCCCCCCTGCTACCAGTCATTATTGATCTCCCTCTAGCTCCAGCCACATATTTCCAATTACTTGCTAAGAATTGCCACTCCAACTGGTTAATAAATATTTACTGAGTACCTATATTGTGCAAAGCACGGTGTTAGATTCCATGTACGTACATACAGGAGGGTGGAGGAAAGTGTGTTCCGTGGGAGATAAGCACGCCACAGCTCTTGCAGGAAAGAAGAGATAAGGTGTACATCAACAAGTCTAACAAAGGTGGGAAGGGACAGGTGCCCAGGATGTGGGAGGGTGATGTGCTGCGGAGCTGCGAACCCCAGAAATGTTTCTCAAGCTTTAGGCACTCACACCCCAGCTCCGTGGTTTTTGCACATCAGCTCTGTCTGATAGAACTTCCCACAGTGATGGAAAAGGTCCATATCTGTGTTGTGCAATATGATAGCCACTAACCACAAGTGGTTCCTGAGCATGCGAAATGTGGCTAATGTGACAGATGAACTGAATTTTAAGTTCTGTTTAATTTTAATTAATTTCAGTTTAAACATCCACATGTGGTTTATGGCTACTGTATTGGGCAGCACATATTTAGAAAAGAAAAAGGGAAATAGCACTTGAGTCACATAATAGGGCAGAGAGGTCCATGGAAATACAATGCAAGCCATATAAGTTAATTTAAAATTTTTTTTAAAATTTAAATTCAATTAGCCAACATATAGTATATCATTAGTTCCAGATGTAGTGTTCAATAATTTATCAGTTGTATATATTACATCACCTGTCCTCCTTAATGCCCATCATGCAATTACCCCATCTGCCCACCCATCTCCCCTCCAGTAACCCTCAGCTGACCTCGGCCGCAGCAACTTCTTGCTAAACAAGTCTCCAAAGGCAAGGGAAACAAAAGCAAAAATGAACGATTGGGACTTCATTAAGATAAAAAGCTTCTCCATAGCAAAGGAAACAGTCAATAAAACTAAAAGGTAACCTATGGAATGGGAGAAGATATTTGCAAGTGACATACCAGATAAAGGGCTAGTATCCAAGATCTATAAAAAACTTCTCAAACTCAACACCCAAAAAACCAAGTGATCCAGTCAAGAAATGGACAGAAGACATGGAACAGACATTTCTCCAAAGAAGACATACAAATGGCCAAAAGACACAAGAAAAAATGCTCCACATCACTTGGCATCAGGGAAATACAAATAAAATTTTCTTATAGCAATATTAAGTAAGGTAAAAGGAACAAATGAAATTAATTTCAATAATACATTTTATTTGATCCAATACACAAAATAGTATTTCAACAGAGTCAGTATAAAATTATTAATGATATATTTTACACTCTTTATTCACACTAGAACTTTGAAATCCAATGTGTATTTTGCACTTACTTTAGTGTAGTCTTATTTCAATTCAGACTAGCCATATTTCCAGGGCTCAAAACCAATGGGTGATTGGTGGATGGTGCAGGTGGATATAGACTTACCCAGAGCCAAGTCAAGTCCTAAAGAGAGCTGATTTAGAGCTACAGTGAACTTCAAAGACACTGATCTAGTGGAAAGCAGCTCTAACACAGCACTGCCCAATAGGCCGTTTTACGATGATGGTAGCGTTCTGTGTTGGCGCTGTTCAAGATGGTAGCCCCTAGCCACCTGTGGCTACTGAGCAACTGAAATGTGGCTCGTGTGACTCAGGAACTGAGTTTTACTTTACCTTAATTTCAATTTAAGTTTAAATAGCCACGTGTGGTCAGTAGCTGCTGTACTGAATAGTGCACATCTATATGATTATGTCTTAAATTTTTTCCCGCAACTTTCCACATTTTTTTTTAAAGATTTATTTATTTATTTGAGACAGAGAGAATGAGAGAGAGAGAG